AAAAAAAAAAAAAAAGACTTTGACATGAGAAAAAATTACCTATAATTCAGCCATGTGGACAAAACAGCATTTAGTGTTTTCTATGATTATTTTAAACCTGGTATTCCAACTCATTTGGGTATTTTCCCCCCAATTATATAAATAATACGTGAATAATTTGAATTTAGAAAATTGGCTAAAGTGTATAGAGGCACATAAATATCGACATTTTGTTGACCATTCCTAGAATAGGCCAGATGACACTGTATTCTTCAGTGATGCATACGTAGAGGTAAAACAAAAAGAAAAGCAAGAAAATGATTCCTTCAGAAGGCAGGGGAGCGGTAGTGGTCACCGTGGGAGATGGTAGGGGGAGGTGGGACTTGCTTCTGATCAGGGAGGAGGAGAGGGAGGTTTCCAGGGGGCTGGCAGTCGCCTCCGTCTAGACCCGGGTCATGGTCTGGGTCATCATCTGTTCGTTTGTGTATATGGTTATGAGGACTTTTTAACTTGTAGCCTTTTTTTCGTATACCTCTTTACATATCCTTTAGTATACATGCAGTACACGAATTGCATGATGTGTATGCAATTTCATATTATTGGCTGATCATTAGTTACATATTTATAGGTTTTACCATTTTTTACTGGGCTGTCTATAGAAATTCTTTATGAAATACACATTTACCCTTTTTGTCAGCAATTTTACAGGTATTTCCCCTGCTGTTTTCTTGATTGTCTTACAGTGTCTTTTGCTACATACAAATTAATATTTTTGTGGTCAAATGTATTTTATAGCTCTGGCTTAAAAAAAACTCTTCCTAACACTTCAAATGTCTCTTTAACATTTAAAGCTTTAATTCATCTTTGTGTATCAAATCACAAAGATAGGATTTTTTTCTTTTTTCCCAGATGATGTTCAGTCTAGCTGTCCTATACCACTTATGAAACAGAACACAGAATGTCCTTTTCCCATGCTACTGAAATACCACATTTATTTGATTTCCTATGTCTGCATGTACTGGGTTTTGTTTCTGGGTTTTAATTTTGTCCTATTCATTTCATTTATTTCTATGCCATTTTAATATACTGCTTTAATATTTGCTAATGCAGCCCTTTTTTTTCTGTAATTTTTGGTCAGTTCATAGGCAGTTTTTTGTATTAGTTATAAGATGATTTTATCCAGTACCTCCATTGGAATTCTTTTTGGAAATTTATTATATTCGCATACTAAATTTAGAGAGAATTGACATCTTTATCAGATCCAAGTCTAAATGGTGCATCTTCCCATTTATCCACGGTTTGTTTTACATCTATGAGCAAGAGTTTATGGTTATTTTCCTACGGACTTCTTTCTGTTTTCATCCGTAAGTGTTCTCTAGTTTTGCTCATTGTGAGTAGAACCTTTTTCCTATATTCATTGCCAAATGGTTGTTGCTAGCACATAAAAATGCAATTGACTTTTGTGTCTTCACTTAATAACTACTTAACTGAATTAGAATCTCTTAGATTTTCAAGGTACGCAGTCGGCAGCAAATCTAGACTCCATTTCTTTTCCCACTCTTGTTTATTTTCTCATACTTGGTAGAACCTCCACAGACTGGAAAAATAATGGTACCAGCAGACATTCTTGTTTTGTCCCTGATTGTAACGTAAATGCTTTAGTGAGTCTCCTTTTAGAATTGTGCTTTTCTTCATTTGGGGAAACCTTTATCATATCGTAGCCCCCTGTATTCCTGTGTGACTCATCTGTTTATTCATGCAATTCATTGTTAAAAGAATGGATGAATGAAATTCATCGAGTTCTTTGATATTAAACGTGACTTACGATATTTTAAGTAACACATTTATTAAGACATAACTCCTATACTTTACGTCACCTGTTTAAAGTGGCTAATTTAGTGGTTTTGAATAAATTCCTGGAATCGTGCGCCCGGCCCCACATTCGGTTTTAGAACATTTTTCTCGCCTCCACAAAAACCCCCATACTGTTTCCTTGCCCTCCGTTCCCCAGCCTTTGATAACCGTTGATCCGCTTTCTGTCTTTGCAGACTTACTTATTCTAGAAACTTCACATTTGTATGAATTTCAGGTTCACTCTGTGGTAGCAGACACCAGTACTTCGTCCTGTTTGATGTCTGTACAGGATTGTGCCACGTTTTGTCCATCCGTTCTTTACTCGGTGGGCATTTGGCTTGTTTTCAGTGTGGGACTATGACGAGTAACGCGTTGTGTACACTTTTGGTGTGGGCGTGCGTCTTCATTTCTCTTGGGTGTGAAATTGCCGGGTTGCGAGGTGACTCCGTATTTACGACTGTTTCCCCAAGTGGCTTTTACCGTGTTACATCCCTGCCACCGGTGTGCGAGGATGGTAGTTAGTTCACGTCACCAGCTGTGTGTTCTTGTCTGGCTTTTTGTTTAGAGCCACCTAGTGAGTTAGGAGTTTTTAAGCCTTTATCCGTTTGTATTATTGAACTTGCTATCTCTGAGTCTGCGGTCAGTGGTCCTTTATCTTCATTTCTTCTTTTTCTTCTTTTAACGTGTGTGGTTTAGGAAGAACAGTTAGAAGCTATACTGTCAGCAGCAATCCATACGAGTTCGCTGGGACTTTTGACTGGATGTATCAAAAAGTGGATAGCAGAAGGTAAGATTTCAGTTTTTAACAAATAGAAAATTACTTTTGTATTTTAAAATTTTTAAATTATTCAGTTTGGGGAGGGGTGAAACTTTATTTTGAGATAATTGCACATTGACATTGTAGCTTTAAGACATTATGTAGAGGTCCCGTGTACCCTTTCAGCACCACCTTCCCCCGGCAGGGTCTGGGAGACCTCTGGTACAGCACCTCAGTCAGGACCCCCACGTTGCCCTTTTCATAGCCTCGCCTGCCTCCCCCGATCCCCACCCCTAACCCCTGGCAGCCACCAATCTCTTCTCTACTTCCATAATTTTGTCATTTCAAAAATGTTCATGGGGCACCTGGGTGGCTCAGTCGGTGAAGTGTCTGACTTTGGCTCAGGTTATGATCTCACGGTTTGTGAGTTCTAGCCCCGCATCGGGCTCTGTGCGGACAGCTCGGAGCCTGGAGCCTGCTTCGGATTATTTGTCTCCCTTTTCTGTCTCCCCACTCGTGTACTCTCTCTCTCAAAAATAAACATTTTTTAAGAAGTTCATAAATGTAATTATATAGTACATAATCTTTGGGATTGACCCTTTCACTCAGCAAAAGTCTCTGGAAATTTCTTCCCAGTTGCGTGTATCCCCCTTTTTACAAGCATAAACTCCACATACACATTATTTTTGTTCTGAATCATTTGAGAATAAGTTGAGGACATCATGTTTCTTTACTTGTGAGTAACATTTCAGTATTATTTCCAGAAACAAGAACTTTGATTACCAAACCACTTTGTACTTCTAAAAATCAGGAACACCTTGATACGTGTGATTATTTGATCTCCAGACCTTACCGGGATCTTGTCAGTCATGTCAGTCACATCCTTTGTAGCATTTATAGGGGTAGGGAATCCAGAATATACTCTGTGTTTAGGTTTTGTGTCTTTTTGATTTCTCTTTATCTTGTATAATTAATTCCTAGGCCTTTATCTTTGAAGAAAAGACTTTGACTTCTTTAAAAAATATAAGCCTGTTATTTCATAGACAGCCTCCCAATGTATATTTGTTCATCTTTCCCCAGGATTAGTTGCAGGCTCACATGTTTCGCAGCAGCGCTCCTTAAATTGACGCGCTCCTTGCCGTTTCATGAGGGTGTGGCGCCACTTTGTCTCTGTTACTGTTGAACTTAACCTTGCTCGCTTGGTCAGGGTGGCTGCTCTCTTTTCCCACTGAAGTTACTAATTCTTTGTAATTAATAATTCTTTATTTTTTCCGTTGATATTTGCAAATAAGAACAACCAAATTCTGCTGCTAATCTGCGCTTTGTGCTCGAATGGACATGGAATAAAGTGATTTTCACAAAAGAGGAATTTGACAGACTATGTAAGTATTACATTAAAAAATTAACCTTGGTTTATGTGTTAAGTACCTGACAACTTTTCATCAGTTTGAAGTTGTGAACTTTTTAAAGAACTGTCTGAAGAAAAGTATTTCTTTTTAAATTGGGGTGACAATTACTGTTTTTGTTTGATTTTTTAAAGATTTTTTTGTGGGGGGGGGGGTGGCGCCTGGGTGGCTCAGTCAGTTGAGCTTCCAACTTTTGATTTCGGCTCAGGTCACGATCCCAGGGTTGTGGGTTCGAGCCCCGTGGCAGGCTCCACACTGACCATGGAGCCTGCTTAGGATTCTCTCTCTGTCTCCTCTGCTCCCTCCCCCACTTGCACTCTCTCTCCCTAAAACAAAACTGTTTTGAAAATTAAAAAAGCTCTTATTTTTAATTTCCACACCCAACGTGGGGCTCAATCTCACAACCTCCAGATCAAGAGTCACACGCTTGCCCCAACCATGTCGGGCTCTGTGCCGTCAGCTCGGAGCCTGGAGTCTGCTTGGGATTCTGTGTCTCCCTCTCTCTCTCTCTCTGCCCCTCCCCCACTCACACTCTGTCTCTGTCAAAAAATGAATAAACGTTAAAAAAGAAAAAGAGAGGGTCACACACTCCACCACCACTGCGCCAGCCAGGTACCCTGACAAAATTCTGTTTTGAGCAAGATTTTGCAACAGATTGTCAAACTGGCAGCATGTTAGTATGTGTACAGTACCAAGTTTCAGGATTATATCTTATTTTTGATCTTACAAGATTAATTTATAAAACATGCTGATGATGGAGTTAGAATATGCCAGGTAACTTCAGAAGCTCCTCTGTTTTTTCATTTTCCATGTAAATATATTTATGACTATAAAAAGGCTGAATAGGAGGGCAAAGAACTCCTCTGTCTTCTACGAGCAGATGTTTTATCAGTCATTCAAAGTCCTTTTTCTTAACAGTTTTGCGTATTCACTGTACATTGAGTTGTGAGGTGTCCTGTGAATATCAAACGCTATACCTAATTAGTGCAAAAATAATGGAATAATGTGATTGCCCTGTATATGAAAGTAAAATTTAAGTTTTAGATGTATATGTCTTTGTTATTTGTATCATCGTGTTAGTGATGAATGAACAAATGGACTTCTTAAGTAAATTGCTCTTCGTAGAAGATTTTTAAGTTTTTTAGGAAGACGTGAGGTTCTATAGTATTTTTAGGGCATACTTAATGAAATAACAAACATGAAATAATTTTAAATATTTTGGCAATCACTTAGTATAGTTGAAGTGAGGGACAAACACTGGATAATCCAGAGTCAGGGTAAAAATGTACTTTTTTGAAAGGAAAATATTTTTAGAACTCGTTATGGTTATGTAATTCATGTAAAAAAATTTCAAATCAGTTCACAAATCGTATGCCTTCATTATACTTAAGAGTATAATGTGGTGCTTCAGGCTTGAACTTGGTAACTCAGCCGTTATTGCTGCCTTCAACTTCCGTTATTGGTTTAATGGGTTGTTTTTTTTTTTTTTAAACCTATAATGTAATTAAAATACAAAGCATAATATTTTAAACATCGGAAGTAGAGCGTATCATTTGAGGAAGGGTTTCTGCTTAAGATACTTGTTGCGTGGTTAGTCACGCATGAAATATTAACGAGATTAAATTTTATCTAAAAGATGTGACCAGTCGCAACTAAAATACCCATTTTTTTCCCCAAAAAATGAATTTATAAACTCCATCTTGAGTTTGAAATGAAAAGACAGCCAAATCTACAACGAATTGTAACAGGCGTGCAATTTATCGTCATAAGTCTTCATCTGAGGCTCCAGTCTGCTGTCTCGCTTCTGAAGACTGGAGGTGGAAGGAATGCTCTTACAAAATACTAGTCACAAAACAACGCTGTACGTAAAAGATCTGCTGTAAAGGACTTACTTGAAGGAGAAGTGTTTGATGAACTAACTTCCAGTGAATCTGAAGTTGACTCTAGATCGCCTTCCCCTCTTCACATATTGCTTATTACCCCGTTCTGCCTCTTAAAAAAAATAGTAATTTGGATTTGTCTCTTCTGGGGTTCTTGAGGTCATGTGCCGTTTCAACCTTGTGTTTGGCAAATCTCACAATGTATAGACTAAGTCTGTGGCCGATACGAGTTTGAGAAACCTTGCATTTGCGATTTTAATTCATACTTATTGTGTCAAAACGCATCTTGTATTTTATCCTTGGAAGGTACACCATTATTTGATGGCTCGTGTCGCTTCATCGATTCGCAAACCATACAGTCCCTCCAGCAGTGCCGTTTGCTTCTTAGCAACCTTAATTCGGTCTTAAACTGTTTCACGAGAGAGGCCCAAGACATCACCGAGAGAGGTGTGCGCTTTATCTTTTGTAAATGAATTTTTATTTCAGTTTTACTTCTTGGCTTCGAGAAAGAATAAACCTCCGTGTCTTAGATACATCATTGTGCAGAGGCTCTTGTTTTGTAACGAAAACTACAGAATGTTATTCGATGTGCCGTGAACTCCTGCTTAAATAAGCTTGGGAAATTTGGGTTAAACTTTCTGATTGTTGAGGCAGAGTACATACTGACGGTAGAGTTTCGAATTCTTATTCGTTTTTATTCACAGAGGTCATTGTAAATTTTTTGTCTCCGTTTGCCATTTAAACAAAACACGCAGTTTCATTTAAAGGCCTGGTTTGAGCAGCCTATGTTAATATTACTGTACTAGTTTGTATTAATGTCTAAATTTGGCTTCTGAAACTAGGTAGATGGAAGCATAGCTAAGGTGGAGGCCTTTCCCTAAAATGTCTGCTTAGTAAGTTACTTATTTTAGCATTTTGGAGATTACTTGTTCAAGCGAAGTGTGTTCAGAAATACACATATATCGTTCAAAGTCTCCGAATCATTAGTTTTTGAGAACCGTCTAGTGTCTTGATTTTTCGTTTGTGATTGACAAATTGCAAGTTGCACATCTGGTGTTCGACCTCCCCCGCAGGCCTTCTGGACCTCCACAGGAAGTGCCTGGTCACCCGGCTCATCTGCCGGTACACACAAGTGGTGCTTTGGTTCTGCCGCTCCGGGCTGCTACCAGAGGGCTTAGGTAAAAGATTTACATAACCCGTGGATGGGCGTGGACACGGTCTTAAATCCTTATAACTTGTTTGTTCTGGGGTTTCAGATTTCCTTTCTCCCACCACCTCACTTACGTTTTCTCCTGTTCTCACTTCTGAACGTTCTTCCTCACTTTGTGTCTGGAGAGCCTCGCCCCGTGCCGTTCCCAGGCGTCCACACACTATTTATTGGGCTGAATGACACGAAACTTGGCTTCCGAAAAAGGGTCCAGCGATATCACCAGCTCTGTTTAGATCCATTCACCCGTGGGTTTTCTATTCTAATTTGCTGATGTTTTTCTCCTTAAGAGTTCTTTTAATATGGTTATTAACCAGTATTATTTGCCATCTGTTCAATGTCTCCTTTTAGCTAATAATTTATGCCAGTACCAAGAATTTGAGGATTTGACTTTTGCCATGTTTGTCTAGAGCACTTCCAAAGCCTCTAACTTCTTGCACGTCTGGGGCACACGTTAGATTCTGTTTAGAAGTGCTTCTGTCCTGTGCGTAATTGCTTTGATCTTACTCTTTCTTTATGCTCTTTGATTTTTACTTAAATAGTCGCCGTTGCTGGCTTTCAGATGATCATTTGTGATTAAGGGAGTAGAATCATTTTCTGGAATGGCTTTTCCAGAGTTTTAAGCCAGCACCCTTGTTTTTTCAGACTGTCACGAGAGACTGTTTTCTCATTTGTGTATCTGCTAATTTACTTACTTCATTTAAGTAAATTTATTACTTAAATTGAGGAAACCTTCAGATTAAACAACATCATATGATTTTAGTAAAACGTTAATATGTGTAACCTTGAGTATCGTTGGGAAGTTTTGGAAATCTTACCAGCCTCCCCCCCCCCAACCAATATTTAGATGATGCCGTGCACCTGCCCCGCTTATGCTACAACTACCCCGTCATCCAGAACTACTACACCAGCCGTCGACAGAAGTGTGAGCGTCTGTCCAGGTACAGTATATCCGGAACCTTCCAGAACATTTTAAGAATCACTTTCGTAAGAAGTCTCCCTACCTCAGAACAGAATTCGTCGCGCTACAAAAGCTGAAATCGTGGAATTCTTAAGTATGGTGACAGGATTTGTTGCCAGCCTTATTATTTTAGTTGTAACGTTTGCTTGTCTGCCTTGACCTAAGGGTTACCACCTTTACTCTATAACTCAGTATTTCCTAATTTAAAGTAGTTCCCACAATTGGTTTATCAGAGGAGATTCTGTAGTGTAAGCGTGTATTTTTCCTGAGAATTCGTATTCAGGAAAAGAGTAGAAGCTCCGAGTCCTCAAAACATAAAACATACCACCAGTTAGGCATGTTACGTTATTTCCACTAACAGCTGTGGTTTGACACTTCACCCACTTTTTTCTGTTTTTCTTATTTCCTTTATTTCTTTTGAAAACACGTGACTGTTTGCCTCATTGGTTCCTTTGAAATAAAGAAGTAGAAGTACTAGAAGCAAGAGCAGTGAGTGAGCCTTGGTTCTGCCTCTGGACTTAGAGCGCCTTCTCCCTTGGGCCAGAGCAGCTTCGTGGTAGCATAGCCCGCAGCACTGACCGCGCTGGCTCACGCAGGCACAGGCGCAAGGTCACGGTCGCCCAGAGATCAGTGCCTTTGGTGCGTGGCAAGTGTGGAGTCCGGTGCTTAAGAACTAATCTCGGAGACAGGCGAGGACTTGGGAGACTTACTAGGCATATCTGAAAATTCTGGATCTGTTATTGCTAAGAGTGTGTGTCCCTGAGCGGATTTGCTAAGCTTTCTGGTCCTGTTTGTCACAAAGTTACACAGTCAGTATGGCTGCAGACTGAGCAGCTGCCCGCCCCCAGGAGCAGTGTTCTTCGAGGAGGAGGCAGGCACTGTGTCTGCCTCTCGCCTCATAGGTGCACAGCGAGGCAGTGGTGAAGAGATCGCTGGGGCCAGAACCCCCTGGGTGATGAAACTGAGGGCCTGGCTCTTTGACCCTGAACTGCAGCACGTTTTCACCAATGGGCTGCCATGCTCTCTCGGGCTGTAAAACCCAGAATCGCTTCAGGCACCTGGCGGGAGGGACCCGGTTCTCCTCCGGACCTGACCTTCACACACTGGCTTGTTGGTGCCCCAGCCAGAGGCGTCTTCGGGGTCTAGCTGGTTCTTGATGACTAGAGCTCACCTGGTGCTAAACGGGGCCCTGTTGTCGACTCTCTGGATTGTTGGGATTGTGATGCTTATTGTTCTGATAATACTAAGTAATTATTTAGATAAAACTAAATTATTTAGGTAATACTAAATAAGTTAATACTAAATAATCGTGAATGTTGCCCTTCTTGCAGAGGGAAGTGGAATCCTGATTACTTGATGATTGACGGAATGGTTTCTCAGTTAGGAGATGGCGTGGAGAAGCTGTGGAAACGGGATGAAGGAGGCACAGGAAAATACCCCCCCACCAGTCTACATGTAAGTGCCCGACAACAGAGTTGGGGGGAGGGTGTCGTGCTTAGCCCTATATTTCACACCTGGCACAGGCTCGGGAAACCAAGGAGCCTGAGTGAACGAATATATAAGGCACACCGGATGTTTTATCCTTTTGTAGGCACTGCTGGACATATACCTCCTAGACGACGTTACCGAAGCGAGCAAACACGCTGTCGTATCCTTTAAGCGCTGTCAAGTAATTCACGCGTTACCCGAATCCTCAGATTTGAGAGTGGTGGGAACCTCGCGCATCTAAAACCAGTCTCCAGTTCACATCTGAAACTTCTCTAAAGGAAGGTTTCCTAACCCGGGGTCCGTTGGTTGGGTTCAGAGGGTCCGTCGCGGACCTGAAACCATGCAGAACTGTGTTTGGTGTTCAATTTTCTAGGGATAGCGTCCACAGTTCTCCTCGACTGGACCATGTGTCCCAGACGTTCCCAGCGTTAGAACAACGGCTCCAAAACATGGCCGGCCAGATGCTCTTTCTTAGGTCACCTTCTGTGTTCAGTACGAATACATGAGAAGTTAGCTTAATACTACCTTAGGTATTGGCTGGCTTGGAGCCCGGTGGTCTTTGCAGTAATATTTTTGTGCTAACGTCAGTTTCTTTATCTAAAAACGTGTAGTTCCATTCGTGATTTATAACAGAGATGATGCGCTTGCTTAAGCTGCTGGGTTTTGCTGCCTAACTGGAATTTTGTCTGTGGCTCTGCTTCTTCAGTTTGCCTGTAAGCCACTGGCTTCCTTAAGCAAGTGTGCTTAGTTCATCTCCTTCGTGGTGGTACTTGCTGTTGAGAACGAGTGAGGTCGGTTGTAGGACTGGCTAGGCCCACGTTTCATAAAACTACCACGGTTGGTTATCCGTCCGGGCTTTCCGAATGCCAGACGCAGCCCCTTCGAGCCTCTTTGCTGTTGCTGCCTAACACAATTAGACGTGTGGGAGTTTTCTTCTTGTTTATTGCCCTTAATCCTCTTTTTTAAAGACCATTTATTTGTTACTCGATATCATGTATTCCTTCCCCAACAAAACAGATGCTTGCATCGAATCATTTCCGACCGCCTTTGCCATTTCTTGGGGCCAGGTCAAACTTATCCAAGGGTTTTGGCTGATAGATCATAATGACTATGGGGTAAGTCTGTTCACTTAGAATGTCAACGTTCGTAAACTATTAGGATTTTAGAAAGAAATACATAGCTGGATTAAATGTGATGTTACAGATACGATACAGTCTGCTTTTAGAGGTAATTTAAGGACTCCGTTCAATCAGTGCCTTTACCAAGCACTATTTATCCAGTGAGGATACAAAGATAAAACAGTTTCAACCCCAGGTTCCGTACTATCCAAAGAAGGAAAGAAATAATAAGCGATTGCTAGTAGCGCAAATACGGAGCATTGTTCTGTCGGAGATACACTAGGTGTGTTGCTGTAGGAGGCAGAGTTCGGCATTGATGCGTGACGGTGGTGGTGGAAAGTTTTTTATAATAGCTTAAATGAGGCCTCAAAAGAATGAAGCTTTTACTTAAAACACACCATGTGTTCAAGTAGACCTTTACAGGTTGCATTTAAACTGCTTTTTGTGGCTGTAGCGTTGCCTGTCTTTGTAAAGGTCGGCTACCTTGTCTAAATGCAGCGCGTCACGTTTGTATTTAGCGACTCTCATGTCCTCTTTGCAGAGCGGCTTGGACCTTCTGTTTCACCCAAGTACTGCAAAACCTGTGTCGTGGCAGCATTCAAAGATTATTCAAGCCTTCATGAGCCAGGGTGAGCACAGACAAGCCCTCAGGTACATTCAGACCATGAAGCCGACGGTGTCCAGCGGCGATGACGTCATCCTTCACCTCACTGTTCTGCTTTCTAACAGGTGAGTCCGCATTTTGAAACCACAGTCAGACTCTGGATTATACGTCAGTAAATCAGCGGTATATAATCTCGCTTTGGTCGCATCACGTCATATTCATTCTTAGGGTTCTTCATCTCTTGGCGTTACGAAGAAATGTGCAAAAACCTGTCGTCATAGGAAAGGATGAATAAGGAGTAAAGGGAAACAAAGCTGAGGTTTAAAGTTCCATCTGTTGCCAGGGCGCCTGGGTGGCTCACTCAGGTCGTGATCTCACGGTGCTCCGTGTCGAGCTCGCCACTGTCAGTGCGGAGCCTGCTGGGGATTCTCTCTCTCCCTCGCTCTCTGCCCCTCCCCCACTCACACGCATGTGCTCTCTCACACTTGAAAAAATACTTGATTAAAAAAATTATATCTGGGGGCGCCTGGGTGGCGCAGTCGGTTAAGCGTCCGACTTCAGCCAGGTCACGATCTCGCGGTCCGTGAGTTCGAGCCCCGCGTCAGGCTCTGGGCTGATGGCTCAGACCCTGGAGCCTGTTTCCGATTCTGTGTCTCCCTCTCTCTCTGCCCCTCCCCTCTTCATGCTTTGTCTCTCTCTGTCCCAAAAATAAATAAACGTTGAAAAAAAAAATTAAAAAAAAAAAATTGTATCTGTTGCTAACTGGCTGTATTGGCAGTCGGCCACATGGACGGTTGGGGTTTGAGTAGCTGAAGAGGGGCCAAAAATAGGAAGGATGAAGTCATCCTGAGTTGTAAAATCAGGTTGGGTAATCTTACATACTTGAACCAGATTTGAGCACGTGATATCTTTGCATTGCCTCTTGCCTTTGCCTTATTTTAACGTTCTCTAATCAGTGTGGTATTTGCCGTTTATATTACAGCAATATATGTATATATTGCTGCAGTTATTTGATCTGTCACATTTGTAACAACAAGTTAAATGGCATGATTGGAAATACAACGATCTCATTATTGGGTTTCCTTGTTAACCAAATTAGTTGGGGAAGTTGCTGGGAGCTAATGTTTCTTACTTGGTTGTAACTGTTTTACACAACTCTTTATTTTCCAGTTCTAGCGATTGGCCGCTTTTATATTTTTAGAAAATGGTCACTTTACTCACCACAAATTGTCCTTAATGAACCAAACACCACTTCAGTGCCAGCACTCTGGAAGTTAATGTTTTCTTTGTTCTCTTGGGTTAAACAATGCATCTCTGAGAGGGTTGAATCTCTGCATCTCAGATAGAAGACAAGTTCTGTAGTGTAATCGTGGGTTGGTTAGACAGGTAGAAACTGCCAGTGTCCTCAAAAGTAATGAATTAGGAAGTACTTGTTGAAATGAAATAATTTGGGTTAGCCAGAAGCATTTGGCTGGCTGAATAAATGTGCAGTGAACATTAGAACAAAAAGAAAGGGTTGCCTGGGGGCTCAGTCGGTTAAGCGTCAGGCTTTGGCTCAGGTCGTGATCCCACGATTTTGTGGGTTCGAACCCCACAGTGGGCTCCGTGCTGACAGCTCAGAGCCTGGAGCCTGCTTCGGAATCTGTATCTCACTCTCTCTCTCTGCCCCTTCCCTGCTTGTACTCTCTCTCTCAAAAGTAAACTTTAAAAAAATTTTTTTAAAAAAGAAAAAAATTTTAAAAAGCTAACGGTGATAAATGTTTATTCAATAAATGGGTTCATTATATGCTGACAAGTGCTTTTCAAAAGGTGGGGGGAGGGCTTAAGTAGGGGTGGGAAGAAACAGATATGTGTTTGCTTGTGTGTGTCCAGAACTTCTTAGGAAGGATACATGAGAAATTGTTAGTGATGACTGGGCACCAAGAAGCAGTTTAGGAGGCTGGGAGTCCACTGTGTATCCTTTTGAACCTTGTCAAAGCATGTAAGTATCTTACTGTTGAAAAACAAAAAGCCGCATATTCTCATGACCCTCCCTCCACATGGCTTCGAGCTGCAGGGATACAGGCTCCCCACGTGCCCTCACTCTCCTCCGCAGTTTTACTGAAGAGTTTGGCCTTCACCGTGACAGTCTGTTTCAGGAGCTTTCCCTTCCCCCGGAACCTTGTAGCAGTCCTGTCACTGTAGCAGTGAAGGGGGCCGCTCCAGGCTTCTGTTGGGCAGCGTGGACCCATTGAACACCCCCCACCCCCTTTAAAAATACAAGTGGCCTACTATACGTCTTTCTGCAACATACTTTTATCACCTAGGTCATTTGGAACTTATTTCAGAATAGTACAAAAAGAGCTTCCTTATTTTTGTTGTATAGTAATTCGGTGTGATGGACCAGTATTTATTTAATTTCCTCCCCTTAGTGAACATTTACGTGTTTTGCCATTTTAAACATTGCTACGAGTAACTGCACGTTTTGCACAAGCACAGATGCAGCTCATAAGGTATAAAATCCTGCAAGTGGGATTGCTTGGTGAAAGGACATTTGCAGTTATAATTTTAGGAGATGTGGCACATTGCCCTCCATGAGGGTTAGGCCGCTTTACCCCGCGTCACCTTACCCTGTGTCCTTTAGTTGGATGAAGTTTTAAGAAAGTTACTTGCTTGATAGTCATATTCCTGTGTCCTTGCCATGTTTTTATTCTGCCCGCCTTCCCCCACTCCAGTCCTGAAAGCTGCCAGCCCCTCCAAAAATTCCAAGTGCTAGATTAATTACTGTCAGATTTCGTGCGGATCTTTCAAGACATTTTGTTATCTTAGTAAGTATGAAATAAGTCTGTAAGTGTTTATAGGCTTTGTTCATTGGTTAGTTTTTTTAAATAATTAATGTTCATACTGTTGTAAGCTTGCTTTTTTTTTTTTAACAGTATATCATGGGAAACACTGCTTATCCAATGGTCTTACTGCCCGTGGAAGGACAGCCTCATGGCCCCCACATGATGTCCAAAACTGCCTAGTTGAACCCGTGTTCTCTAATCAGATCTTGCTTTATCGATCAGTCACAATATTTTTTTACTGAGTGAAGCAAGCCCATCACCGGCCCATAAACACTGTTCCATGGTCCCACTGCCCTCATGCTGGGTGTCTGTTCCACGGGAGCCGGCTTTTTTCTGCCACACCACACTACTCTTCTTCTGTCCAGACCACATTAGCTTATGTCTTCTGACTCCTGTGTACTTACTTAGCTTTTCTATTTTACACGTAAGTAATGGTCCAGAACAGCATCACGTGAAGCCTTCTCGTTGATATTAGCAAACTTCATTATGTAATGATAAGGTTTTTTTTTTTTATTAACTTGTTTTATTTTTTATTTTTTAAAATTTACATCCAAATTAGTTAGCATATTGTGCAGCAGTGATTTCAGGAGTAGATTCCTTAGTGCCCCTTACCCATTTAGCCCATCCCCCCTCCCACTACCCCTCCCGTAACCCAGTTTGTTCTCCATATTTATGAGTCTCTTCTGTTTTGTCGCCCTTCCTGTTTTTATATTTTTTTTTGTTTCCCTTCCCTTACGTTCATCTGTTTCGTCTCTTAAAGTCCTCATATGAGTGAAGTCTTACGATTTTTGTTTTTCTCTGACTACTTTCACTTAGCATAATACCCTCCAGTTCCATCCACGTAGTTGCAAATGGCAAGATTTCACTCATTTTGATTGCCAAGTAAAACTCCATTGTATATATATCCCACCTCTTCTTTATCCTCATCCATCGATGGACATTTGGGCTCTTTCCATCCTTTGGCTGTTGTCGCTAGTGCTGCTATATAAACATGGGGGTGCATGTGTCCCTTTGAAACAGCACACCTGTATCGCATGGAGAAATGCCTAGTAGTGCAATTGCTGGGTCGCAGGGTAGTTCTATTTTTAGTTTTTTGAGGAACCTCCATACTGTTTTCCAGAGTGGCTGCACCAGCTTGCATTCCCTTCTTTTTTTTTTTTTTTTTTTTTTTTTTTTTTTTTTTTTTTTATGAGAGACCAGGAGAGCGAGCACGGGAGAGGCAGAGGGGGGGAGAGAATCCCAAGCAGGCTCTCTGCTGTCAGTGCAGTGCCCATTGCAGGGCTCAAGCTCACGAACAGGGAGATCATGACCGGAGCTGAAACCAAGAATCTGACTCTTTACCGACTCGGCCACCCAGGTGCCCACGATGATGAGTATTTCATAAAAGCTTAAAGTACTTGTAAATTATATACACAGAGCGTGATGAGGTTCTGTGGGTGGAGCGCTTATTTTGAATACCTCAAACAGCTTTTCTAACACGAAATCGTGCTGAATGCCGGTTTCAGGTACGTGGTGGAGGCCTGGACTTTCCTGCGGCAGCACTCCGCCGGCCTCAACGTGGAGGAGCTCCTCAGGCACGCGTACGAGGTCTGCCAGGACGCGGGCCTGATGGAGGATTTGCTGCAGCTGCCTTTCACCGACACAGAGCAGGTGATGACCCCCAGCAGCAGCTCGGCAGAAGTTCCGGATATGCTGGCGGCTCACGACTGTGTTTGGTTCTTCCTAGGAATGCTTGGTGAGATTTTTGCAGTCCAGCACCAGTGTCCGAAATCAGGAGTTCCTTCTAGTTCACTACCTGCAGCGTGCCAATTACGCCTCTGCCCTGAGGCTGAACCAAACTCTGAAGGCCAATCTCACGGTATGGTTCAACTTGTTTCATTATGGGGGACAAGAGAAGAAGGAAAACTGGTGACTTTGTTGTATAAGAGTTTGTACTTTGGGGGCGCCTGCGTGGCTCAGTCAGTGAAGCGTCCGACTTGGGCTCAGGTCACGGTCTCGCGGTTCGTGAGTTCGAGCCCCGCGTGGGACTCTGTGCTGACAGCCTGGAGCCTGCTTCGGATTCTGTGTCTCCCACTCTGTCTGCTCCTCCCCCGCTCACACTCTGTCCCTCTCTGTCTCTCAAAAATGAATAAATGTTAAAAAACAACAGAGTTTATACTTTGGTAACCACTGGGGTTTTTATATAACCTTGAGCTTGGAGAATTCCTCTTGTTACTTCTGTAGCAGATTGGGAGCGGGGAATTAGTACTTACCTGATTCTCTCATAAGTACGTCATTTCTCTTTGGCTAACTACCCACACTTCTTGCGAGACTAACCACCCCACTCGGAGAATAGGAGGCAGGGGTGGAGGGGCAGTAGGAGTTAACACTGTGCAAAGAGCATGGGCCTTAGGGGTCCGATTGATTCTTCTTTGTGCTCTGTGCTTGAAACACATTCTCTGAGCCTTGGTTCCTTACCTGTAAAATGTCAAGGTCTCTTCGTGGGGATGCGCAGAGGTGTGTCTGAAGGGACATGGTGCCTGACCCACGTAGACCCTTGGTGAACGATAACCATTGTTTTAGTAGTTGTGAAGGATCGAGGCCAGTGGACAGGGACTGCTAATGCAGTTAGGTGTATGTCAGAGGTCCTGGGTTGGGAAGAATGGATATGAAGGGAGGAGGAAGATACTCTTAGGTATGCAGAATTTATTTTAAATGTTAAATACGTAAACGTAACGCTTAATGTTTTTCAATATTAAATTTTTACCAATTACGGCATATTCAATAGAATGATCGGGATCCTCTTTTGCGGGAGAGATCAGAGGTTCGGAATGCTATAATAGACCAATATGGGAAAGTCCTTCCTAAAATCCAGCGAAAATTAGCCTTTGAGCAAGCCAAGCCTTACCATCTGTCCACATCACCAGTTCTTCAAGAAGGTAAGATTTCATTGAAAACTATCAGAAAGTATCGGGTGAGAAAGGATATCAAATGATTACCTTCTGAACCATTGTTAGCTTCTGTTTAGCTCACTTTTGCTTTGATTCATTACAGTAGTTTTTTGTTTGTTTGTTTGTTTGTTTTTTACTGGCCACTCGAGCTGCCCCCCCGCTCCCCGTCCCCCAACATAAAAGTTTTCTTGGAAGTTTGTATAGTTTATTTAGCAGTGTAGTACAGAGTAAAAGAACTCGTTTTATTTCATTTGGACACTCCTGTCCCAACTTTTAGAGAACATGTTGGATAATATTTTTACTGCCTCCTAAAAGCCCAAGTTGTTGAATCTCGCTGCATATATGTTGTTAAACTAAGTATAACCCTGAACTACTCTTCTCTCATGACCCCTGTGTTCCAGTCACTCTTTCGTTATTAGTCTAGTAAAATCCTGGCATCAGAGATGAAATTGACCTTGCGTTCTTTGTTTCACAGTTTCTAGACCCAAACCATTATCGACTGTCACAAAGCAGACCGGAACAGGGACCGTGTTAACAAGATCTACCTTCATCAGTAGCGTGTTGTCTAAAATTGGAGAGGTTTGGGCAAACAGCGACCCTAAAGACGGCACATCAGCCTGCAGCAGGTACTCTCTCCTCACACCCCGTGACAGCCTGGCTTCTTGTTAATCCTCCCTGGATGTCAGAAGCTGTCATCAGCAGTCCAGCCTTAGCGTTTATTAGTGTGTTTAAAAAGGAGAAACTTGTATGTTGACTATTTTTATTGTAAGAAGAATTCTTTTTGTCTTTAAATTTAAAGGCATTTATATTTATTATTACTTGTAACTGAACGGAAACATACAGAGTAAAAAGCAAAAGCCCTCCTTTCCTATCTAATCCCTTCTTGGTTTTTTTTTAGTTTATTTATTTTGAGACAGAGAGAATGCATGCAAGCATGGGAAGAGAGAGAATGTGTGCAAGCGTGGGAGGGGCAGAGAGAGAGGGAGAGAGAGAATCCCAGGCAGGCTCCGCGCTGTCAGCACAGAGCCCGACGCGGAGCTCTGTCCCATGAACCGTGAGGTCATGACCTGAGCCAAAATCAAGAGTCGAATGCTCAACCGACTGAGCCACCCAGGAGCCCCTAATCCTACCTTCTTAAAGCATATTTTAATGTAATACTCTTCGTAATACATAATCCAAAGTTAAATTTTTATTTTCTTTGTAGTCCTAAAACAGAAGGACCATCTCCTTCTCTCCCACATGCAAAAATGCCTGAGGCATTTGTTGGAACACCAATTTTAAAAACGTCACAAAAAGTTTCTAGGTAAGACTTAACTGAATCATTTTTAAGTCACAATGTTAGACAATAATTGCACTGTAATTTTTAATTAACTTTAAAACTTTACATGATTTTAAATTCTTGAATGAGTTTTCGTGCATGCTTCTAATTTTTTTCTAACTTGGTAAGTTGTGTAGTAATTTTAGGAAACTTTACACCAGCTGCTAGCCTACTTAGAAATTTTGCTGAATGACATCAGACTGCTTAAAGAAGCAAACTTTGTTTTATTACAATCATGAGCTAAGTAAACTGTTAACTTGCTTTCTTTAATATAAGTTCCTGGTTGACTGATCTGTGACTCAAAGTCGTTTTTATAATTTGTGACTAATTCGGTTGGCTCATCGAAACTTTCTCCTGTATAGCAGAGCCCACTAAAATGCCTTACGTGGCTTCAGATGCAATAATATTTGTACATCTTCACCTGTGGTATTAGGAAAGTAAATAGTTAAGTTGAAGTTTTGCATCCAAGATGAAATTGCGATTGTATTTCATTGAAAATGTTGGATTGTTGGAAAAAGTACTCATATCCTCAAGAGTGGAGAACAAACAGGTGTCTCTTAATGTTTGGTTCTTTGTCTTTAATACACCATGCTCATGATTGTTGTAAATTTCTGATCGTTTACATTTTATCAAGAACAGAATTACATTATTTTAGGAGAATAAAATGATCTGAATTTAAGGTACTCAGAAGAAGTTAGTAATTTACAAACGGGGCCTAAGCTATTTATAATAAAGTGGGCATATTTTCAAAGCTTGACCAGGGTTTTCTGTTTTGGGGGGTTAGATTTAATTAGGTGGAGGTGGTGTTCTTTTAATTACCGGGAAGGTTATCTCAAATAAAAGTCATTATTATTGTCATTCTGTTTTCCTATCAGTAGTTCCACTTTTTCCCCCACAAGTCAACTTTTTCTCAGCCCCTTTGTACTTTAATAGATCTGGGGTTCAAGAAGGGAGCAGTAATAAAGGTTTTCAGACTCATGACTAATGGCCTGACGACCTAAAGAAAAAGAAGTATTGAGACTCCTTCAAAGCTATGATTAACTCAGAAGGAAGAAAGTCAATTGAGGTGTGAATACTTATTTTTATAGAAACCATTCCATTCCCTAATTCTGTGTTTCAAACTGGTTTGCATTAGTGGGTAGTGAGTAAATTTAACGGATTGTGACTAGCATTTCTTTCAACGAAACAGAAGAGGTCATATCAGTGGGCACTGCATATGGCGAGGCTAAGTGTTAGTCTGTGTAATTTATGTTTTGTGTGTGCGTGACCTGAAATGCATTACTTATTTGTATCATGGTAAAAAATTGTGGAAATCCTAAGAACTACATTTTTAAAGAAAATATCATAATCAAAAAGTGCTTTTTCTTGATAACTGTTTTAGTAGAATTTCAATATATTTGGTCTTACACTTATTAGTATAAGAATTTTGTGTTTACTCAGTAGGTAACTTTGTTGCACAGGCTGTGTTTTTGAGAATCATTCATAAACAGGCACCTCGAGCATAAATATTGACACAGTGCAAAGGCACGTAGCAAAAGATCTATGGGGGATAGTTCAGCATAAAAGTGAGCAAACAGTTTACAAATAAAGATTTTGAATACAAATGAGGCAGAGAAGGAAGAGAAGAATTAGGAGAGGCAAGAAAATGTCTAGTGGCCTGACTGGGTATTTTTGATTTGGTGGAAATCTCAAGGCTGTGCTTATTAGTAAGCATTATTTATTAAGCTAATACTTCCGAATCCAACGAATGTTTCCCACTGGGTAACAGGTTGGGTCTTAAAGCCCCATCTGTGAACTATGTTCATCTACCATCACAGTCATGAAAGTCTCACTTGAATGTAGAGGACAGAAGGGCAAGGACGGGGGTGGGTAATTCCTGGGCACCAGACAGGCACTACCTTTCCGGTTCTTCTCAGCTGAACCACAGAGTCATTTGGGGGAATTAAAAATGTTTTCTTTTTATTGCTACAAAATATAACCATCAAATAGACTGTTGACGAGGAAATTGGGGAAGGAGTGGCTTATGCAAATAAATGGTCTATCAGAATTTGTAACCTGAATTTTCACTTTTGAATTTAAAGTCTTTATCTGTAAATTAAGTTTTTAAGCTGTTGGGACTATGCGTGCTTAATACAGATTCTTGGTGAGATTAGCGTTATCATTTGTATAAACTATGTCCAGGACATCACAGAAAATGATTCAGCAGAATCTTGAGATTCCATTTTGTCACTGCCCTCATTAATTTGAAAAAATAAGGTTTTTTGTGTGTGTTGGTGATCATTCTTACGTTGCAATAAAAACCAAAAAGGTCAAGCAAACCAGTGTTCATTATGTAGGTCATATGTAGAGAAAAGGAATTTTTACGTGTTCATAAAAATGAATTCTAGCAGATGGATCTGTCTACAAGTTAGTTATCCGGATCTTTGTGTGTGCTGTGATTACAGACCGCCGGATTCGGTCGTTCATCCCGTGCCCCAGCCGTCTCAGCATTTGGGATTTATTCAGCAAACCCCCCCAAGGTCTCCTTTATACCGAGCGTCCAGTTCATTGCCAGTAAGGTCACAACAGAAAGGATCGAGTCAGAGCTCTCCCAGGGCTTCGGAATTCCGCGTACTTGAAACTCCCTTTGTAGTGAAGGTGAGTGTTAGGTACCTCGCATTTGCGGGGAAGCTGGGAAGCTTTCACCTTCCAAGTAGAAGGGAGAAGGAAGCTGTTTATAACTGGTATCTCTGGGTAATTGACAGCTTTAAATCTTTTGGGGGGAGTTACCTTTCCAAACTGTTTATTATATTTTTACATCTTAAACAGACTTTTACTAAATTTACCTTGTGCGCTTAATTGAGGTTAACAATTACATTGTTGTTCCGAGAGTAACGCAAGTCTCTGTGGTTATTACAAGTTGAAACCTGTAACCCTAACCCTAACCCTAACCCTAACCCTAACCCTAACCCCTAACCTCTGGAAGGTTTCGTTTGGTGGGTTTTTGCTCCCCACCCACCCCCTCCACTCCTTCTCTGCTACTGTTTGCTCTTTTTCCTTATATCAGATGCTTTTAGTTCTTAGGTTTATTTTTATTTATTTACATTCTCTCTTTGGTGAAACTGTAAATTGTTACTCCTTGCTAGCAGCATATCTGCCTTGAATTCCTTTTCCCCCACATCTCTGTTAAGTCATGAGTTGGGAAGCCACAACAACAGTATTAGACCGGTAATTTGGCAGGAACGTGCCTGCTTCCAATCCGCTATTGTCACGAGTGGTCAGCTGTGTGCTGGCACCTGTAACCCATCATCCTGCCACCATACGAGTCCCATCCCTGCCGTTGTTTTTGTCAGTTGTTTCTGGATATTCCACACTGAGAGTAAAGCCAGGGGATTCTTAAGTTTCAAAGTGAATAAAATAGTTCAATAAATGCCAGTCCAAAAATAGTTATTAAAAGCACTTGAAAAGAAGGTGGATAAACTAATTAAGTTCCTGACATTTAATCTGTAAGTTTTTCAGATGATTCTTGTTTTCTTTCTTCCTTCTAACTCTTTTCTTTCTCCTCTTTCCTTTTTCTTTTTTCTTTTTCTTTCAATGTTTATTCTGGGAGAGAGAGAGCGTGCACACACGAAGTGGGTGAGTGGGGAGTGTGTGGGGGTGGCAGAAGGAGGGAAGAAGGAAGAGAAATCTTTTTTTTTTTTTTTCAGCATCATCCAACATCTATTTTAGAGAGGGAAGACAGAGCGACGGGGGAGAGGGGCAGAGAGAGGAGACACAGAATCGGACACAGGCTCCAGGGCTCGAGCCATCAGCCCAGAGCTGACACGGGGCTGTCCGAACTCCGGGCCAGCGAGATCTGTGACCTGGCTGAAGTCGGACGCTTAACCGACTGCGCCACCCAGGTGCTCCATGAGAGAATCTTAAGCAGGCTCCACGTGGAGCCCCCCTCAGGACAAACCTGAGACCATGATCTGAGCCAAAATCAAGATTCCAGTCAGCTCAGCTGAGTACTCAGGTAGTGGCCCCCCCCCCCCTTTTTCCCTTAAACTTGTTTTTGTTACTTTGTTTTTATCCATAAAAAAAATCACATTTTGGGGCACCCGGGTGGCTCAGTTGGTTAAGTGTCTGACTTCGGCTCAGGTCACGATCTCATGGCTCATTAGCTCAAGCCCTGCGTTGGGCTCTGTGCTGACAGCTCAGAGCCTGGAGCCTGCTTCAGATTCTGTCTCTTTCTCTCTGTCCCTCCTCCACTCATGCTCTCTCTCTCTCTCTTGCTCTCTCTCTCGCTCTCTCAAATATAAACATTAAAAAAATTTTTGTTAAAAATCACATTCCATATTCTATCATGTAGTTATTTTGTGCCTGCTACCAAAAATAATCTAGGAAAAAAAATCTATGCAATAATTGAAATCTGATGGAATTTAGTAATCTAATGGGATACAACAGTTTGCTAGTCCTTTAGAGGAGAAGTTAAGTGAAGGAATTATTTCTGCTAAACAGTTTCTGTGCTAATTATTTTTATTGATTATAGTAAATCCTCAGAGGATTCTCAGAAGTAATCAGTTACTGTTGGATTCATGTGATGAAATTATATTTTTCGTGAAACAGTCTTAAAGTCAGGCTCATCTGTATTAACTTGCTGTAATTAAACCTAGTTCTTTTCATTGCATGCTATCATTTCTCTTCGCCTAGCTAATGCTTTGTAAGCAACCATTAAATAATTTATCTCTACACTGTATTTTTGTTTTTAAGTTTATTTTGAGAGAGAGCGAGCACGTGCATGCGGGGGAGGGGCAGAGAAGGAAGGAGAGAGAGAGAAAGGGAGCGGAGTAGAGAGAGAATCCCAAGCAGGCTCCACTCCATCAGCGTAGAGCCTGATATGGGGCTTGAACTCACAGACCGTGAGATCGTGACCTGAGCCGGAATCAAGAGTCGGACACCTAATCGACTGAACCAGCCAGGCACCCCTACACTGTATTTTTTAAGTGGAACTTCAACTGGGAATAACCAAGGCCTTTAGAATGATTGTGGATGCAGTTTTATGTCTTGTAGCCTTATGTATAGAAACCTCTGAGTAGAATTTTGTATTTTCTTCCCAGTAATCCATAATAAAAGTTTTTATTGATGTGTTTATTGGAGATGAGCATATATAGCCACTGCTGTGACTTGGTTGACCCTGTCTGTCCTTCTGTAAGTGTCTTTTACAAACACTAACGGTGCAATCCCATTTGTTCCTTGTCACAGAAAGCTAAAACTCTGGCCATGTCAGTCGCTTCCTCTGGATTTGCCGAGTTCACTCCTCAGTCCATCCTAAGGTCTGGTCTTCGAACATCACCTTTACTGTCTCCGTCTCTGTCGCCTGGAAGGTCCCTTTCCCCTCCTCTGCGACTTAAAGAAACTAGAATTTCATTCATGGAAGAAGGCGTGGCCACAAAACGGACTGCTGAAGTAAGCCTGTTAATAGTTGGAACAAAAAAGACTTAATAAGAATATATTAGCTTTTACAAGTAAAACGATAAATCCATTTAAATAATACCACTCCAGGGGTGCCTGGGTGGCGCAGTCGGTTAAGCGTCCGACTTCAGCCAGGTCACAATCTCGCGGTCCGTGAGTTCGAGCCCCGGGTCAGGCTCTGGGCTGATGGCTCAGAGCCTGGAGCCTGTTTCCGATTCTGTGTCTCCCTCTCTCTCTGCCCCTCCCCCGTTCATGCTCTGTCTCTCTCTGTCGCAAAAATAAATAAACGTTGGAAAAAAAAAAAAAATTTAAATAATACCACTCCAGAGTTTTGTATGCACTCTCGCAGAGTGTCATGAAATCAGAAAACATTAGTTCAGAAAGAAACTCATGGTATTGGCCGAGCCAAACCCATCATTTACAAGTGAAGAAAATATAGCCCAGAAGCACCAAGTAAATTGCCTAGAATCAAATAGCTATTTGGTGGCAGAAACCTCCTAATTCTTAGTCCATGTTTTGTTTCTTACCTTATTCATCCTCTCTCTTACTGAGACCTTAATTGGTTGTTTAGGCGGGTATGTTGTCAGACTTCCACTGTGGTTGATAGGACACCATTTGGTATCAGTGGGCCATCTTGCCTCCTGTGTTTACTAGTCTTTTGGAAAAACTGCCTCGTTACCAGTTAGGGAAACATTCACAGCCACGTATCTGTATCTGGAAAGATGGATTTAGAGCGAGTGTTGACTGAGGAGAGAATCTAGACAAATACCAGAATTGGAGAGCGTGGAGAGCTGAGACTCGACTGCGACTTCTTTTTACTAGTCAATATTTTCTTTTTTCCAAAACCTCTTACTTGACAGGGGGCAGACGAGAGCAGAATAAGACTATCTTTTACGTCACCTTTCCATAAATGTGGAGTTCCGGCAGAAAACAGACGGCTGAAGAGCGAAGACAGGACAGCAGCCTTTTCCCCGAATAGTCCCGAAAAGGACCATCGAGAAATGGACGTGAGATCGGAGGACACGGCCTCACAGAGTTTGGAGAAACTGGACACGAGCAAAGAAAGTAGCGGTACCTCAACCAGGTCGGACCAGACCACCTTGGAGTACCAGGACGCGCCATCCCCAGGAGACTTGGAAGATCTTTTTGTGGCCTCAAAGCCAGTGAGCCCTCCCACAGAATTAATTGCTAATTTGACTGAACAGACAGAGAAGGACAGTGATCCAGACATTCTTGAATCAGAAATAACTCCTCCAGACCTGGAGAAACAAACGGGTAAGAACTCATTTCCCAATATTCACAAGATTTGTAATAGAATTCTTCCATTGTAAGAAAAGCATCGGGATTGAACAGTCATATGATCACAGCGGACTAGCTTGTAGGCACAATGCGCGCAGGTGACGTCAGGCCCTCTTACGGCTCTGAGAAGTAACAATACGAACTCTGCAGACTAGGTTGGTATGGTTTTTAACTTGTCCAGCACCCTCAACTTTCTAGAAAGCTGCTCAGAAACCAGGTCGTTCGTTCGTGCTCTTCACTGTCCCCACTGCCAAAATCCTCTCTGGGCGATCAAAACAAATCTCCAAGGGCCCATGAATTTATAGCTTTATGTTTATCCATCGGAAAGATTTTGAGCCCCTAACGCATGTGCAGCAGGTGGGCTCTTTCTGTGTGGGCTCATTGCTGAGAGTCAGATAGTGAGTGAGGCAGACATGGCCTTGCCCATCGGTAACTTAGAGCCTAGTGGACTATAGATAAACGAACAAACACTTAGACTGTTGTTTGATACATGCTATTGTAGGCGGCATGGAAGGGGCCGGGGGAGAGAGGAGAGAGACTTGGCTTAAGATTGCATCAGAAATTTAGCCCATTTTTGTATGTTTCGACCCCCTGCGCATTTAAAGGTAACTCCTGACTTTAAAACTGTTAATCTAAATACTTCTATAGAAATCTGTGTCCTAGTGGTTTCTTTGGGGCTCTGATGTCTGTTTCCCAAACACAGGCATTGGCAATTGCTCTAAGGGCCTAGGGCTGTCCCCGTGAATAGCATCTGTCACTTTGGATGTGCTCGGTTCCACTAAAATATCTGAATGATAAAACATGAAGATGTTCATGGCAGTATCTTCATCGATGATTCCCGAAAAGATCAGGCAGTCTCAAATAGAAACTTCTGTTCTCATGGGAGATCATGAGGCACAAACTGTAGAGTAAAACTGACTACATTTGAATCTCGGCTCCTTACTAGGCCTGGGATAAGATGTGACTGCATGCCTTTGTTTCTTTGTCTGTGAAATGGGGGGACAGTTCGACCACTTTGACTGTTGAGGACTAAGTGCGTCGATCTGTGTACAACACTTGCACGTTAAGCCAGAAGTGAGAGGTGTGGATTAAAGGGGCTCTTGGACTGGGCTCAGAGAACTCGAAGGATCTGTGGCATTCTGATGCCGGGGAGTAAACCTAACGGTATAAAAAAGCGGAGCCACCAAACGTGTTCGAAAGTAATCGTCCAGGAAGGACTGTGAGGAATCGCTAAACATTTGGCATAAATCATTATAAGTGTTCTCCACCGTGTGATTTCCAGGCCCTTTGGAAGAGGCGGAGGCACAGGACCTCTTAGTCGCAGAGGCGGAAGTTTCCGAGTTCAGTCACCTGAGCCCCGTTCAAGGAGTCGAAGCTTCCCTCAGTGTACCAGCGGCCCACGAAGGGTAAGTTAGTGGAGAGAAGTTCCCGTGTTAAGAAAGTATAATAAAACGGTGAACCGGTTGTTTAATATTCGTGCGTAGATGAGCTTTTATTTTAGATCTTGGACATTCCCATTTCAGTAACGGTTTCTGTTAGGAAGGACATTCTTTGGGTCCAGTGTGTGCTACTTGGTAGTTACTGTGAATCCTAGAATGAGACTCCACATTTCCTGAATTTATGAAGTCATGATGAATTGAGGCAGATCTCCTCTTACATGCTTTGGTGATCCCATTTTTGTTGAGGACCAGAGTTGGATTTCCAGCCGTGCGTTCCTCCACACCCTCCCATTTCTGGTGGCTTCAGGCCGATGAGGTGCGTCTGCTGTAGCACAGGATGGAGTGTAGGAGAGGCAGTGCTGTTTTTGCCATCCTGTGAATCCGAGACTCTGCCGGCCGAGTTTCTGGTTTTGAATGACTGCCTGAACCACAGTGCCCCCCCACCAGTTTTATTCGGCGTTTGCACATTTGGGCAGCGTTCCTAGGTGGTGTCGGGGAGGGTGGGGCGGTGTCCTAGTTGGTGTTGGGCAGTGGTGCTCAGTGTGCTCCAACAGACTGACGCTGGTTCCCGGTCGGTTCACGGTCTGCGACAAGACAGACAGGCAGCTTGTATGAGAATATCGGTCAGTGTACCACGTCCCTTCTTGGACGTCACCGAACTGACCAGTGAAGTGATTGACCTGGCAGAAGCTCTTCATCGGGTCGCAAGGCGGACACCTCGCACATCAGGACCCTGAGCAACACTGTTACAGAGGAAACAGAAAAGTGGCAGCTTTGATCTCGAAGTCGTAAGGGTGAATTAGCGTGCACACAGTGTGATCATGTCATGCTGTCCATGGTTCATCGCCCTGTCGGGCCTGCTGGAGTTCACAGAGCACCCACGAAAACCAGTATCATGAAGGTTGCGTCTCCTGCGTGACCTTGTGTGCTCAGTTGTGTGCTGCCCTTCCGAGAAGAGAGATCCTGATTAGCTGGAATCTTTGCCAGGCTTTCATAGAAAAATGGGAGGACGTAAGATGAAAGGATTGTCTAGATTGTCTTATTGTCTCATTCTCCTGTTTCTTGAGTTTTAATGAAAATATTTATTGCAGTGGGTTAGATGGTTAATTACAAAAGTTACAAAGCAAAGCGCAGTCACGTGACAAGAAACTTTGTGGTCACTGTGGGTAATAATCTGGGCGGATAGTCCCCATCATGACAAGCTGTGTCCTTTTTAAATATAAATTTATCAGCCGTTGGTTCTTGGTTAGCTTAACGTTGTGAGAGGAGTCTTAAAAATACACCTATGAAATAAATATATGTAATATTCCAAATGCATGCTTTTTCTTGCATTTATTTTTTAATTTTATTTGTCCCCTCTTTACAAAGGCAGCATGCTTTAGTTGGGTTTGGGGGAAAGGCCAGCTCAGCATAGGAAGGGATCACCGTCCCCATATTTGCAGAACTTAACTTTCATCAAGTGATACAGGTCCCATCGGTCTCCCACTGTTTTATCATCCTCTTTTTAGATGACACTAAAACACCGAAACTGACTTTACTGAGTATATAGGAGATACTCCGTAATACCTGGTAGACTTATTTAAGGATGTGCCCACAGTAATTTAAAAACTGGCATAAGTGTAAGTTTATATTGATCGGCATGCCACTGTTGCCAACAGAGTAAAATACTAGAAAACAGGAATACCGAATCCAGCACTGCTTGTTTCTGAATTCACCTACAAATTTTACGGTGTTCTTCAAAATGAACTTGGGTGGTTCATTCATAATGAAAACCTCAGTTTTCGTTACCAAAATGACATGTGGCAGAGGGAGCAGGATTATTAACACAGGTAAGAGCAGGTGGGGGCCTTCGTACACGCTCACGGACGTACTTCTGTTTCTAAAGGAAAATCGTCGCCCTGAAATCCCGGGTACCAGTTCTAGACGAAGGGGTAGTGTCTGTCGCGGCTGGTTCCTCTTCACTCAGAGCAGGTAACAGTACACGTGTATATTTTCTTGCCTTCAGAATTCTTTTTAGTGTTTTAGGAGTGTTCTGTTCCTAGAACAAAGGAATCTGTTATCTAGATTTTCTTATCACAGTTCTTCCTTTTTGGTCAGATTCCGTAGCTAAGGGAAGTGAGTCTCTCTGAAGGCATTCTGTGGTCTGCCAGTAGAAGTCTTAGAATGGTTTTTGTGGACATATTTTCCTTCAGAACATCAAAGAGAGGAAATTAAGTTCTCAATCCCCAGCCAGACTGCATATCTGCTTTTGATCACCTGGGACTGAGGTGTCTACACAGGGCAACTTCTGGTTTTGTGTTTGTAATAACTTAAGGCCAAAATTGGCTTTTTACTATTAGAAAACAATCACAAACAACTGCATTTACTCTAGGGAAGTTAACGAATATATAGACTTCATTTTTTTTTTTTAATCCAATGACTTTTTTTTTTTTTTTTAAGTGCCTCCTCTTAGACCCTGGTTGTATAGAGATGAGAGAGGAACATTTTCCTCAGCTTCCAGCTGGGTTTGGGGAAAGCAGGCATCTTGAACTTAGCATTTTGCGTGATCACCTAACAGTACTATGTTATGATGTTGCTGCTGACTCTGGAGCCCATGCTCCATACCTATAATACCGCCTGCCCGTCTCATTATGAATAGGGATTAGGACAGACTTGAATAAACTTGTTTTTTTCCCCTCATTAAGAATGTAATATGTCTTCTTTTAAGTTTATTTTTGAGAGAGAGTGGGGGAGGGGCAGAGAGGGAGGGAATCCCAAGCAGGCTCCACACTGTCAGTGCAGAACCTGATATGGGACTCGATCCCACCATCCACGAGATCATGACCTGAGCTGAAACCAAGAGTCTGTCCCTTAACCAACCGAGCCCCCCCCCAGGTGCCCCTAGGATGTAATATACTTTTATTGTAAAATAATGAGGAGAGCACAGCCAAGTAAAGTAGAAATCCCCATAACCTGGATATCTACTTTAAGGACCCATTATTGGCAATTTAAAGTATCTTTCCTGGATTTGTGTGTGTGTGCATATTTTCCTGCGTATGTGGGAAGAGAAGGTAAATGTGGAGGCTTTGCTTGGACTCATAACCTAGTTCCGCACTTAATATGTAAAGGCTATGGGCTGTACCTCCCATTGCTTTGTCTATAAAATATTTATACCTTTAAGTGTTAATAAAAGCTCAATTAAAAAATGAAGGCTCAATAAATGTTGTCTATAATTATAAAACATCACCAGTTTATTACCAAAACAACTTTCTTTTTCAGTTAGCACTAAACTTCTGACTTTTTCCTATGTCATTAATATAGATTAACCCTGTCCTTTTTAACAGTCGTGGTCGTGTTCCCTCGTATGGATGTTCTGTGGTGGGCTTAACTCGTGCTTATTGATGAACATTCGGGCTGATCGCCATTTCTGTTTTGCCATTTCATTTCTGCCTTGAATTTTTTTGTGTGTCCATATCTTGGCACATTTTGTGTCAGTATTTCTCTTCAGTAGTTCCAAACCATGAGCTTCCTAGGCAGGTCAAGGATTATGCACAGATTTCTAGGATTTTCTCCAGGGAAGGTTATTCGCGCTTTCACACACCTACCGTTGGAAGGTAAAGTGCATGCTTCCCCCATTCCTCTGCCGGATGGACAGGTGACAGCTGCCTTCATTTCGTTTTATAAGCTGTCTTTGCGTCTTTGGGGTACTGCTGGCCCCATTATCTATTAAAAGTGTGAAAATAGTTTTTGTTTTTTTTCTTTAAACCTTTTTATTGATTTTTGTTAAATTCTAAAGGTTTTTAAGTTAGACACCCCCCACCCCACCCCCCCGCCCACCTGCCACAAAGTGTTTGGGATTTTGTGTCATTCACAAACCCAAGTGGCATATAAATAACTATGAGTGCTGGTAAGTCTTTGGCAAAGGTAAAGAGGATTTTTGGTTTGTTTTGTTTAGATGAGCTGTCGCCCTCCCTCAACGCCCCTCTAGCTTTTCTAAGTGGTAGAGTGTATTTGTGGTCATTTGGATGCTTTCTGCCAAAAGAGATCTAGTCTTTTTCCAGCGAGATAAAGCCCTGATTGCATGTCCCTCGCGTCATTCTGTAACCGCTCGGCGGGGATAGCTGGTTGCCACTAGTCACCTGATGAAGTTTCCAGGCTAATTGAATGGAGAACAAACATCTGAGCCCCTCAGAGCAGTCGTGTTCATACTGAAGTTTCAGAGTAAGAGCAAGAATTCTATCCAAGTTGAAAAGAACCCGGGCAGGGGCACCTGGGTGGTTCACTCGGTTGAGCGTCCGACTTCAGCTCAGGTCGTGATCTCACAGTTCCTGGGTTCCAGCCCCACGTCAGGCTGTGTGCTGACAGCTCGGAGCCTGGAACCTGCTTCGGATTCTGTGTCTCCCTCTCTCTCTGCCCCTCCCCACTCCCGCTGTCAAAGCAAGTATGTGTTGTTTAAACCGAATGGATACTGAAGAGATGGGATTCACATGTAAACCCTCACTGGCTTTTCCCGTCAGATGTCAGAAGCCGTGTGGCAATATGTCTGGTTTTCAAGGAAACAGTCTCCAGTGCAACACGGCCCTAACCTTTCTGTGGCTTCTCACTTAGTGTGGTGTGTATCTTTCTGGTTTTCTTTCCGTCTAAAACCTGGAGGATTAACTCTCTTTTGTCTTTCAGCTGCGTCTGACGTCCATGGTGACACTGGGGACCTGGGGCTTGTTGCCTCCGAAAGTCCCGTTACCTCTGGTCATAAGTCTGACCAAGAGATAGCACTGACCTTAAAAGAAGATCATGAAGTAGCAGCCGATGTGCTGAAAGCAAGTGTTGACTTTCCAGAAGAAAAGCCTCTTGTCTCTCACGGTCCTCCGGATACTCAAGAAATTCATGTAAAAACATTAATTTTTTACTTGTTAGTTGTGGTTTAGTTAGGTTTCAAACCGTAGTTTAAACCTAATGTATACGTTTACCTGACTGCTATCTAAAAGCCTCTTTATAATGTGCGTGAAAAAAAAAAGTGTGACTGTTTTGTGGAATATGAAAGAATAAATCCTTTAAGTGAGAAATTGTTTTTCATGAAAACCAAAAGGCTATGTGAAGTCACAATTTTAACAATTTAAATTAAAAAAAAGATTTTTTTTTTAATGTTTATTTTTGAGAAAGAGAGTACGAGCGTGGGAGGGGCACGGAGAGGGAGACACAGAATCCGAAGCAGGCTCCAGGCTGCGAGCTGTCAGCACAGAGCCTGACGTGGGGCTCGAACTCATGAGCCATTGACATCATGTCCTGAGCCAAAGTCGGACGCTCAACCGACTGAGCCACCCAGGCACCCCTAACAGTTTAATTTTTGCTTAGTATCTGGTTCAAATGAAAGGTCTTTTAGCCATGAGAAAACAGACCCTGGCTACTCCAGAGACAAGCATGGCATCAAAACTACTCAGAGCCTATATTTGAAAGTAATTGAATACAGTTAAATAGAACCTTTTCCCCCATGCATACTTGTAGGAGAATGATAACCAATGGGCTGGGGTTTAACCTCTATACCCCTGAGAAAGGATTTCTTTCTTTTTTTTTTTTTTTTTTTTTTGGTATTTAATACGACTTGCTTTCTAAAAATTCCGTCACGTTTCTTTTACAATCAATGGGCAACCTTTGTACGATAAATGAAGTTAAGATAAAGCAAAAACGCCTCTAATTTATAGAAATGTGACTGGGTCGTATTTGGGAAGTTTCTTAACTCACAAGAGTGTGGTGCTTATCCGTATCCGTATCCGTGAGTATTCTCACTGTGACATAGGCGGCCACAGTTCCCATTCTTTCAGCTGGGAAGCTAATAAAACTGTGGGTGTGGTGTGAGCGGGAGCCCGTGTCTCTGGGTACTTGCAGTCTCTCCTCGCTGAATGTTTGGGGAGTGGGAAAATGTCATTGTCTAGGTGGGTGGGAATGTTCTACCTTCTTGGTCAGGAGATCTCTGTTACTTTCTACCTCCTCCTTTTTCTCCCCTTCCCTTACCAAAAGGTAAATGCAAGGACCATTCCTTCTTCCACCAAACCCTTGCAAGAGAGGTACTGAACTTGAAAGCCTTAGGAATTTCATGGTTTATGCAGCCCCAGCAAAGGCAAGAGGATTGAGTCTAGCCCAAGGGAGCTTATGTAGGTGAACTCTTCTTCAACCTTATGGGGATCGTGCTGTTTAGAAAAAGTGTGGCTAGTTAGGTAATGTGGGGATTCCCATTAAAATGCGATTTGGGGGTTGTTTCTCTCTGGTTAATTTTTTTTTCCTTGGGTGAGAACAGAATAAGTCCTTTAAATTCTTCTCACAGCTGTTGTTAGAATCGTGATAATTTTCAAGGTTTTATAAAGACTGTCTTTTTTTAGCTAGGGAAATGTGGGATTTCTATTTTAATTCCATTCAGAATCTCAGAATCTTTTTTTGTCTAGTTATTTTGACTGAGTAATAATGTCTGATGGCTTAAATGGACGTTTTATAAAATAAACCCATAAGCATAGGCCAGATTAAATGTAGTTTATGTTTAACAGCTCATAAACCAAGGGTGAGATGATTATTTAAAACCTTTGTGCTTTAGCTTCAAATAAATGCGTGAAAATCCTTTAACCCTTCTCTTATCTTTAATTCATTTTAGGTGATTGAACATGAAAAGCTTGGAGTTCAAGATTCGGGACACGAGGCTAACGATCTTTCATTTAATGAGTTGTATCCCTCAGGGGCCCTTAAGCTCCAGTATAACTTTGATACCATTGAGCGGCAGTTCTGTGACTTGCCTGATAATAAAGACTCCGCTGAGTGTGACGTTGCCGAAGTAGATGGGGAGCTTTTTGGGGCGCAGAGCAACTTTACCTTGATACTGGAAGGTGAAGAAGGAGAGTTTGAGACAGGTGATTCTGCCGCATCTAACGTGTTAGCTACAGCGGCGAACACGGCAACGGAAGAAAAACCCGCGTGCGGCGGGGAGAATGATGGTCGCGGACACGCCGCAGATTTCGTGTCTGTCACCACGAGTGACCGGGAGTCCCAGAAGCTGGAGACGTTACCATATGTGCCTGAACCCATTAAAGTAGCCATTGCAGAAAATTTATTAGATGTGATTAAAGACACAAGAAGTAAAGAAATTACTTCAGATACAGTGGAACCACCGTCCATTCATGACAACTTACCTTTAATAAGCCAGAAGGTAATGTGTCCCGGCAAGGTAGTCAGAGCTACGCCGAAGACTGTGCAGGAAACCAGTACACTGACCGTAAGCGTGAGCCAGACGCATGACATGATTTCCTCTAGAACGCGCACGAGAGGACAGCGCGTCCAAAACCTGAGTGTCAGACCAGCTCAGCAGGAGTCTGCGGATGTCGCCATCCCTGGCACCCCGGGGCTTTCGGGCGGGAGGAGAGCGAGGAGAACGAAGGACCTCTCTGGGGCTTCCGAAAGTGCCTGTTCTGACGTCAGAGGAGCGTCTCCGAACCAGCAAGTACCCCAAAATTCTGTTACTCCTCGGAGAGGACGGAAAAGAAAAGATCACCAAGACACTTCAGAAAGTGATCATCCTATGGCACGGGAGCCACCGGCCACTCCGGGTGGCTCACTCGGGAGGTTAAAATCCTCTCCGCTGCTGGAGCCAGCAGCTGAGGAAGTTAAGCTTTCATCTGTCACCAAAAAGACCCCTAGAAGAATTAAAAAAGCGGTGGAGAATGACGACAGTGTTGAAATGGTAGATCTAGGCGTAAAAGTTAGTAAAGTAGCACGTTCTGGCGGAAGCACCAGAAAACTGAGAAGTGCTAAACTAGGGGCTTCTGAAACCACGGGATATAAGCAAGATGGAGAAAGTAAGCTTTCACCTGTTACAAAAAAGACTCCTAGAGGCATTAAAAAAGCAGTAGAAAATGCCGACAGTGTTGAAATGGCCGATAAAGATGTAAAAGTCAGTAAAGGAGCACGTTCTGGCGGAAGCACCAGAAAACTGAGAAGTGCTAACGTCGGCTCTTCCAGAAGTGTAGGATACAAACCAGATCCCATGTGCATTGAAGAGGCACCGCCTGTTCAGCACAACAGCAGGGCCAAAAAGAGAGAAGTCAGCACGCCAGATGTTCCGGAAGACTGTCAACGTGACACATCCCAGCTGGCTCTTGAAACCGAATCGGATCTGCCTAGGAAACGGGGTAGGCCGAGAAAAAAACCACCTGAAGACGTGGGATCTAAGGCCACTAAGGAAGTGAGGAGTCCCAAGAAGACGCAGACTCCCAGCCGCCAAAGGAGGTCCGCCAGGAGCACCCCAGCCAGAGGTGGCAAGGCTGACGCCGGGAAGCCAGCTTTAGAAAAGTCCGTTTCCGTGCCAGCGGAGGAACTCGCCACGGTGACCAGTGCAAAGAGGAAGCTTACAAAAAGGACCGAAAATCAAAGCCAGACACGTGCATTACGCTTAATATCGGAAAAATGCACGGGCGAAGACCCAAAGGAACCAGGTGACCCAGAGGCCAAAGTGCCCGCTGCGGTGGCCGTGACCCAGTCCGCGCGTGGCAGGAGGACTAGGGCCAGCAAGGCCGTCTCACTGCTGGACCCTTCGGAACCAGAAACGGAGTTTGTCTTTTCTCCTCCTGTGTCAAAGGCTCCAAGGAAAGAGAAAGGTACTTTTACTTGTGTTCAAAGCACAATTTTCATCTCACACAACGTCTTCTATTTTCAGCACAGTTCAAGACTGTAATTGGTTATTTCTCCTGAAAATGATTAGTAGTTATAGAGAAGTCCTCCCTGTTCCAAAGAAGAAAACAGTCTTGATCTTTTAATAGTAAAATTTAAAGATTTTCTATTTCAAGGTTTATCTTAGATTCAAGACCTTTCTGGTCCAGTAGGACTCTTTAAATCCTATAATGCACTTGTCATGGGTCTTATCTTTTAGAATAGTATCCTCTCGTCATTCTGCCGTCAGTGACTTAATTTCTCCCCCCATAGAATCAGCATTTTTCATCTAAGTGCAGCCGTGTTTGGCTCGTGACCCAGTGGATATCTGCAACCTCAGATTGTTTGGAGGGAGGGGAAGGAAGGAGTGCTAACATTTTGTCATTTAGGACGCAGATTACCTAAATGCGTGCTCCCGGTAGCCCCTCCCCTCCCAGTTGGCTCGGCTGCCTGTCCAGCCTGCCTCATGAGGCACTGTTGGGTTGGTACAGGGCACACCTTCCCAAAGGGGTGATGAGAACCTCTTACTATTTGGGTCTAAAGCATAGGTCTACATAGAATAACAAAGAGATTACGATGTCTCCGTGCTGTTAAGATTTGGAGGGGGATTTTTCAGTAAAGTGGGCAATCAAGAAAAAGGATCTAAAAGGTGCTGTGGCCCGACAGACCTGGTGCGGGAGTTCTTTGCAAATGTGATAGAAGCAGTTGTTTACCTAAGGTTTAAGATGTTAATTTCAGCAAAGCAGCTCAGGGACTTGTGAGTGAAGTAGGTGACTGTGTTGTTGTATTTATTTAAACCTTTTCATACAAACGCATTGAGAACAACCCATATTGTTAGACGCCTCCTGACTCGAGGAAGGCCACAGGGAGATAAGCCATTTAAAAGTCTGCAAACTGAAATTTTCTATATTCAGCATTCACTGCACAAGCACTTCTTTAATTTCCATATTTATGCAGTAATCCATTATATTAACATAGCTTGAGCCCAGGAAAGGGCGCTTGTCCTCATTTTTTAAAAATAATTTGAGGGGTGCCTGGGTGGCTGTCTCTGTTAAGCGATCGCCTCTTGACTTTGGCTCAGGTCATGATCTCATGGTTCGTGAGATCGAGCCCCGCATTTGGCTCTCAGCTGACAGCATGGAGCCTGCTTGGGATTTTCTCTCTCTCTCTCTCTCTCTCCCCCCGTCTCTCTCAAAATAAAGAAACTTAAAAAATAAAAATAAAAATAATTTGTGGTTGGGGCGCCTGGGTGGCTCATTCTGTTAAGCATCTGACTGGCTCGGGTCATGATCTCACGGTTTCTGAGTTGAAGCCTCACATTGGGCCCTCCACTGTCAGCATGGAGCCCGCTTCGGATCCTCATCTCCCTCTCTCTGCCCCTCCTCCTCTCTCTCTCTCAAAAATAAATAGACATTAAAAAAAATAATAATTTGTGGCTGTAGAAGGTCTCCTCTGCCCCCTCCCAGTGTTTTAAAGTCAGCTCTTTGATTTTGCAGTCCTGTGTAATTCAGTTCTTCCTGGTGTTAGGAAAGGTGGGCCACACCCATACTCTGCCCAGAACAGAACCGAACGCTCATCGCAGCTCACGTTACTAAGCTGCTCTGTTAGAGCTCAAATTACTGAAAGGCAGCAGTGTGGGGAGCAGAAGGTTATTAACACAAGTCTTTTCTGCTTTCCTCGTGACCTAGAACAGTGTAGCCAACACCGAAGTTGTGTGTTGTTCTGGTACAGACGGCAGACATCTCAGGAATTCTGAGTTTTGTCACCTTTGCAGAGTCATCCTCCCTCCATGTGCCCATTAACTATAACTTTTTCTGTAATAAATTCATGCCTGCCATAGAAAATCAGAAAAGTCATCTAGAGGACCAATAACCAGTGTTCGCAGTCTCTTCCCGTTGTAGGTATAGTTTGTTTGTTTTTAAATGCTTATTTATATTTGAGAGAGAGAGGGCAAGTGGGGGAAGGACTGACAGAATCCGAAGCAGGTTCCAGGTTCTGAGCTGTCAGCACAGAGCCCGATGCGGGGCTTGAACTCACGAACCATGAGATCATGACCTAAGCTGAAGTTGGACCCTTAACCGACGGAGTCCCCCAGGTGCCCCTGTAGTTTGTTTTTTTAAAACCCAACAGCCTGATGTGTGTACAGCTGTGTATTTTGCTTCCCCCCTCGCTCGCTGAGTATCTTCAGATGCTTGTGTGTTTTGTCACTCACACACTGAGGGCTCCTGGGTGGCGTCGCATCCCGCTGACGGGCCACAGGCTGCTCACGATTTCTCCTGGTAGGTATTTGAATGGTTTTCAGATTTTCTAGTAGTAAAAAGAGACCCCTTCTGGTGAGAAGTGATGAGAAATGGGGGGGCTGCAAGATGTCATTTCTGCCACTTTACTAGCTGGGCGGGTGGGGGGGAGGGGGCCGCATAGCCCTCCTGACCCTGCTTTTCCTCCGTGTGCAGTGAAGATGCCAGCGCCCCGCTCTGTCGCTCCTTCACCGGGGTGGCCACCCCCCACGGAGGCTCTGCCCATCCTTCTGCCCTCTCACTGCGCCTCTGTCCCCAATGCTGACTTAAGTCGTATTTTGAAAGCTCTTTGGGGAGGGGTTGGAAGTGCAGGAAGTCCTCTAATCGAAACCCATCAAAGAAACCACCGCTCCCAATGTAGTCAAAAGTGTTTCGCTGGTCGGAAGAACGCGAAGCTTGGCGTTTCAGTGGACTTTGTGTAATTTCTGTTGCTAGCAACAGTTACTGAAGAGGGGCACGCCGTCTGCCTGAGGCCGGAGTGGGTGTATGTTCGCCGGCTGATCTGACTCTCCGCAGCCCGGGGAAGGGTGCTGTTGTCTGCGGTGGGAGACGGAAGTTCAGGGACACAGAGCTTCCCCCCACCCCCTACCCCCCCAGGATAAGTGTCCGTGGAGCCAACTCCTGCTGGCTGCTCAGAGTTGTTAAAGCTGCTTACCAGTACGTTCCTGGCTCTGAAGCCAGGACTTTGGAACTCCTCAAGCCTTAAGTAGCGCTGGAGAGAGATGGATGAGGAATTCACATGCCGACAGGTAGAACAAAGTCTCGTCTGGCTGATACAAGCGCGTGGAAGGTGTGGTGGAGGCCGGATTCTTTGGCACGTGGTAGTGTAGGTTTCTAGTTCCTGATCGCCCTCTGCAGTGCAGGGGGAACCGGAGGTGAAGAGCATGAGCTGGTCTTTGAAAAGGCAGGGCCGCTACAGAGAACCGAATGTTTTCATTTCCTAGGAAGAATATAGATACGTTTCTTTTTAACGTCAGAAGGGGAAGGTCACCACCAGCAACCCCAGCCGTTGCCATTTCTGCCCGTTATCAGCAGGCAGCAGAGAGGACTTTTGGTTCTGACCTCACCTCTGTTTTCTTTTTAAGAATCCTAGACTTTAAAAAGCAGAATTTGACGTCTTACAGAAGTTTTGATTGTCCCGGTCGGTGAAGTAACATTGAACCAGACTTTGAGAATCTTATTTTATGATTTGTAAATTCTGAAAGTCACGACTCCGTGACCAGTGCAGACCTCCACAAAGCACTTGCTGGGCACCCCACACTCTTGTGACCCTGTAATCTTCACAGCGACTCCGTAGGTCCCGATACAGTGATCCCATTTTATAGACACTGAGGCAGAGAGAGTTTTATCTGATTTGCCTTTGGCCCCACAAGTAGAGGATCCAGAAGCTGGAATCTAACCTGTGGCAGACTGGTTTGGCTGCACCTGCCACATCCATCGTGACTTTGCTAATTGCCTTTGATACGGAGACCCGATGGTGAATGTAAATCTGAGAGAACGTCTGTGATGTTTTTAGTTATATGTTCTGGGCCAGTTCTTAATTAAACCATTTTTATTTATCTATGGAATATCTTCCAATCAATCAGCCTGTTTTTTCCTGTACTAGTTACCTTCACTACTTCCATTTTCCCTTTATGACGTGAACTTTTCTGTTGTTCCTTTGGCCAGAACCACTAGTTCAGAATGATCTGGAAAGAAAAAAGTTTTGAGTCTCTTTGAAGATAAAATTACTTTTATAAATAAAAACGTCATCTTTGGAATAGTAGGGATTATGAAGCAAACTAGCTCAGGTTATATAGAAGATTGTTGTTTTCCTTCCCCAGAATGTATGAGGAGCAGTGACGGTTAACACTCCTAGAAAAATAGTTCTGGGTTTGATTCTTTAATTTTTATGTCGTAGCACTATTTAGTTTGGGGCACTAAATGTTCTACACGCCGGATTTACCCAAATGGTGTTGAGATTTTTCCCTGCGTTTGTCTCTCCTCAAGTGGCCACCGTGTCCCCGTTAGTGTTTCCAGGCTTGGAAATGTTCATGTCTTTCCAGCGTGCATCCTCTGTTCCAAGCTTTTAGAAAAAATAGATCTGGAGATACATATACATAGACCTGGATTATAGTGTGTGTTTGTTCTTTCCTACCTTTCTTCAGCTAAAAAAATAGAGGCTCCAGCACAATTGCAAGAACTAGTTTCAGATTTATCTTCTCAGTTTGTCTTCTCACCGCCTACTTTACGGACCAGGCAGAAAAACACATCCAATACATCCAGACTTGGAGATGAACTGGTAAGAAGTGCGTCTTATTCCTTTGTATGCTTGTTTAAACATGCTCTTGGGGTGCCTGGGGGGCTCAGTGGGTGGAGCATCCGACTCTTGATTTCGGCTCAGGGCATGATCCCAGGGTCATGGGATCGGGCCCTGCATCGGGCTCCATGCTGAGCATGGAGTCTGCTTAAGATTCATTCTTTCTGTCTCTCTGTCTCTGTCTCTTCCTGTCTCTCCCTCTGCCCCTCTCCCCAACTCACTCTCTCTTCAAAAAAAAAAAAAAAAAAAAAAAAAAAAAAAAGCGCTCTTTACTTTTTTAAGCAACGTTTCCTAAATAAACCTCTTTTATTATTTATTTATTTATTTATTTATTTTTCAACGTTTATTTATTTTTGGGACAGAGAGAGAGCATGAACGGGGGAGGGGCAGAGAGAGAGGGAGACACAGAATCGGAAACAGGCTCCAGGCTCTCAGCCATCAGCCCAGAGCCTGACGCAGGGCTCGAACTCACGGACCGTGAGATCGTGACCTGGCTGAAGTCAGACGCTTAACCGACTGCGCCACCCAGGCGCCCCTAAATAAACCTCTTTTAAAAGAGCAGACATTTGGGGTACCTGGGTGGCTCCGTCGGTTAAGCGACTCTTGACTTTGGCTCAGGTCATGATCTCACAGTTCGTGAGTTCAAACCCCGCATCCAGCTCTGTACCGACAGCACAGAACCTACTTGGGATTCTGTCTCCCACTCTCTCTGCCCCTCCCTTGCTGTCTCTCTCAAAAAATAAATAAAAATAAACTTTAAAAATATTTACAAGAGCAGACATTTATACTGAAAGCCCTAAATTGCCTTCTCTGCACTTTGGGGCACCCTCCCTCTGACACGTCTGTGACATGTCGCTGATGGTGTATTACTGGCAGCTGAGGTTTAGATTACCTATTGGGGAAGAGGTTTTTAACTTTTAGCATCTCATCAGAATTCTCTGGATGTGTTTATCTAAAATAGAGGTCCCTGAATGAACTCCCAGGGTGTCACCCATAGACCACACTTGGAAGGACAGTGTTTCAGAGTTGTGCAATCACCTGACTGCGCATAACCCTAAAATGAAAACAGCTCATGGATTGAACTAGTTAGCAACATTAATTCAAAAGCGTTTCTTGAATTACCTGCTATGACCAGTTACTAGGCGAGGGCAGAGACGCCCATGGAAATCACTTGGGCAAATGCCTTGTCTTTCAGGAGCTCAGTTTAAAGAGGCTAAACCACACGTAATTATTTCACAGCCTGATAAGAATCGATTTATACCCAAGTAGCCCTCTAGATAGAAGGTGAAGGAAGCAGGCCTTCCTGGAAGGGAAGACTGTGGACTGCAGAGACCCAGAATGTGGCCGTGCAGGGGGCGGGGGCTCCTTACATACTGCTGCCCAGCCACGTGCATATTGAAGGAAGGATGAAATGAATTCTGGGGAGGAAAAGTAGTCCCTGGTGGCCTGTTCCTTCATGAGGTGAGGAGAGCTTGGATTTGGACAGAGGGCAGCAGACAAGGAAACGTGTGCCTTGGAGACACATTGAACGTATGGATGGGGATGAAGAGTGCCCCTGAATGACCAGAGTTCCTACTGAAACTCTGGGGGGCGGGGGCGCCTGGGTGGCTCACGTTGGTTAAGTGGCCAACTTCAGCCCAGGTCATGATCTCACAGTCTGTGGGTTGGAGCCCCGCGTCGGGCTCTGTGCTGTCGGTGCAGAGTCTGGAGCCTGCTTCGGATCCTCTGTTTCCCTCTGTGCCCCTTCCTTGCTTTCTCTCAAAAATAAACACACATTAAAAAAAAAAAAAAAAAAAGTCCATCTGGGACTTGTTGCATCTGAATTCATTAGCACCGTTTGGCGGTATTCCTTGACTCAGGATAGAATTCAGTTTACGTTGCGGATATGTAATTACTGAAGATTTCTCTCTCCAAACTTGTAACCCATAGAAAGATAACACTCAATCAACAGAAACTGTGAGAAAGCAAAAAGTGAAAACCACCAGGACTGCAAAGACCAGACAAGCAAGCAGGTCTGACCTTTTTTGTGCGGTAATTTTTATCCATTTTGTTTTGTGAATTAGATTTGAGAAGAGTCTTGTCTTAGAGAAATCAAGCTCTTCAGAAAAGGGTAATTCTTAGGAGAATCTGTGCGTACCGGCTCCTGGTGATCGCTGGATTTCACCGCGGGAGGACGAGGGAGGACGAGGCGGGTCTCCACAGGGCGGTGAGAGCCCATTCAGCCTTCAAAGCCGGGCTGTGGGGGCGGGGCGGGGCCCACTGGGTCCTTCTGTTCTGGCAGCGGGGGTGGCGGCTCGGCGGCGGGATATGTCATCCTCTCCTTAGTAAAGGTAGGTAACAGTTAGTAAAAATAATTACAAACTTGGCAGTAAAACTTCATTCGTGGGGAAGTTCCTCCAGGTTTATTTGTGCTTAGGCATGGTTGAATTTCATAAAAGCATAAAGTAATCCATTTCATCTTACTTTAAAAACCGACTTAATGTGTCTTTCGACCGTAGGTAATAACACCATTTATACATCAGTTGGCTTTGTGACATATGTGGGGCACTTGCATATTACGGAAGTATGCACAGAATCGCGAACTTGTGCGGTTTGAGGGTTGCCGTTTCTCTCCCGTTCACGGGCCTGCCGGGCTCTCAGCCCATCCAGGTCACGTGGGCCTTTATTCTGCCTCCAGTTACCTTCATGACATAAAGCTTCTTCGCTTCTCTTATAAAATCAGAGCACCAGGAAAGGGTACCCGCTCCTTGAGGCTTTTTTCCAAATACAGTGGGAAAGTGGATTCTGTTTTATATTACAGTGTGTTTATTCTTACTTGAATTGTTTTTGGTTTTCAGAAACAAAGAAGACGACCCCTGGTCCCCTCCTCCAGTGAAGATCAGGCTGATTTCTCCTTTGGGAAGCCCGGTTGACGATGTAAAGAACAAGCCTAGAAAAGCTACCACGGTACCGACGAGAGGTCTGGGAAGGAGCAAGAAGAAACTGTCTTCCTTTCCAAAGCAAGTTTTACGGAGAAAAATGCTGTAATTTTTTTTTCAAGTTTTTAATGTACACCAATTTGTAGAGTCATCAAAATTGTGTGGATTATTAAAAATCATCTAATTTGGAAGAAAATGATTTGTATAAATTACTGTAAATTTTTGTAGACAGAAGCTCTTCAATAAGCAAAGTAACTCCATAAGGAGTGTGATTCTTTTAGTCCAGGCAGTTTTTTCTATTTTATATGAAGACTTCATACATTTATACAGTATGTAAATATGGCTTATTATTGGAATGTTAAATAAAGTGTATACTTCACAGTAGTTTGTGTCTGTTAGATTTTTGAGAGGGGATTTCTGTTTTAATCATGACTTTCTAATGCTAGTAGGCACTGGCCCCATTTCTTTCTCTGCAGTTAATGGTGTTAGGCCAGTCTTAAAACGAGGATGACTGAATAACTATTGATTCTTTTTCAAAGTTGCTATTTTATAATTTATGCACTTTGCTTCTATGATTGAGATTTCTAATCAAAAAATGTATTTTTTTTTTTTTTTTTTTTTTTTTTTTTTGCTTGTTATTACTATGTTGAAATCAAATTATGGGCATGTAATTTTGCCGCGTTTTGTAGTCTAACACATTTTGTATATTCTACCTCAAATGAGTGATTTTCCAAGTAATGCATTGGTTAAATATAACGTTGGCATTCCTTGTTCAGCAAGCGTAAAGGCTATTTGTCCTTACGGTCTCTTCATTATTCAGAGACTAATTATCCAGGTTAGATTGACCGGTTCACTGCTCACTAGCAACTTCTTGGAAAGGTTTGAGAAGGGGGAATGTGAAACAAGTCCGTTTCGTGGCTGTTCGGCACACCTTGTATGTGTGCCTGCTGTCGACGGAATGACAAGACTGAACAAATTTTTTTATAATACTCTTGCTGTGAAGGAGCTTGCTATCAAATTACAGAAATCCCTTAACATTCAGGTTTTAAAACTGACACATTTTCATAGGACCTCAGGCACAGACTATCGAGGATGGGCCAAGAGTGTGAGTAGAAGTGGGGAAGGGAAAAGGGAAAAGAACAGGACCCTGTCCTCCGCAGTATGACTGTGTGCAATGAAGCGGAGATACTTGATGTGGGCTGTAAAACTCATCAATAAGTAAGTGTTGCAAAATAATTTATAACAGGTCATTGATAGTGTGTAACGAATGGACCATGAATAATTGATTGTCTAGAAACAAACTGCTTTTGTTGGCTAAGCTTTTAATGTTTTAGTGTGAAGCATAAGCAGCGCACTTTCTACCTTATTTTTCTACCAAATAAATAACATGAGTGACGGGAAAATGGTGAAGATGCCTATGCCACGTATGGATAGTGTGACAGTCGCGGTGCGCGTGCGGCCTTTCAGTCAGGTCAGTGATGAATGTTACATCGCCTTGTTGAAATTTTGACTATGACTCATTTTATTAACTTTTTAACAATAGTGATCAAATGTGTAAGCTGCTTGTCATTTATGGAATATTTAAATGAACTTGTTAAATGAGTAATTTAAAGATCTGAACATAATTTAGTAAACACGTAATTTCATTCCTTTGCACAAGTAGCTCAATAAAAAAATTGATGAGAGAAACATACGTACTGTCAAGTTAATAATTTTTTAAACCAGTGCGGTTTGGTCAATGTAGACGTGTTGTTTTTAGTAAATGTACTTCTCCTCTCCTCAGTAATAGCAGATCATAAGCAAATAAGTTGCCGGTTCGGGATGAATTCTGTAGATTTTAAGTGCATTTACGCATACACGTATTTATGTAACTACCACTGGTCATTCAACTGTGTTGCTACAACACTAAGATACAGATTATACTTGTTCTGGGACCCTGCATGCTGATTATTAGTGCAGTAGTTAGGTTTTAAGAGAATTCTGAACAGTTGGCCCATTCAGCACGCTTTTGGCTGCTCTGGATCAAACACCACTAAAGCGTGTAGTCCTGTGTGAGTAAATGGTAGTAGTATGTATCGCCATGGTAAGGCAAGCAATGTGGGCCCCCAGAGACAGATTGGGTCTAGTGAAAACTCCTGGAGATAGAAGCATTCAGGATGACCCAAAGAACAAGATTTGGACAAGGGTATGCTAGAGGGAGCAAACATGCAAAGGGCGTACCGGACGGTAATAACTGGTCCGCGGCGGCAGACGACGAACGTGACGGAGACCTTCCAGGAGGTCTTGTTTTCCTGCTCGGACCTTGTACAACCCGATGCTTTTCCTCTCTTGTCCATCAGCATTCAGTACTGTCCTGCACATTTTCAGTTTGTGTCCATTGTTTCCCGTCTCTTAGCATTCATCTGTGTCACAGAAAATATTTTAGCAGCCAGGCAGATATGTAATTAGACAGCTTTAGGGATAGAGACAGCAGTGACCAAGGCAGTGTGATACTGGCACGATGACAGACCTGCAGGTTAATGTGTAGAAACAGAGTCTAAAAATCTTCCCAGGCCTTCACGGCCAACTGATTTTCAACAAGGCTGCCAAGCGGTCATGGAAAAACTTGGTAGCTACATGCAAAAAATGAACTTGAGGGTGCCTGGGTGGCTCAGTCAGTTGAGCATCCGACTTCAGCTTAGGTCATGATCTTGCGGTTTGTGAGTTCAAGCCCCGTGTCAGGCTCTGTGCTGACAGCTCCGAGCCTGGAGCCTGCTTAGGATTCTGTCTCCCTATCTCTCTGCTCCTTCCCTGTTCACGCTCTGTCTCTCTCAAAAATAAACATTTAAAAAAACAAAACAAAAAACTTGGACCCTTACCTCACACCATGTACGAAAATTAACACAAAATGGACCAAAGACCCAAATATAAGAGCTAGAAGTACAAAGTACAAAAAAACACATAGTAAATATTCGTGACTTTGGATTCTCCGATTCCTTTAAAAGGAACCATTTCTGAGATCAGTGACATTTTTCATGACTCCAGGTGGGTTCATCTCAGCTGTCTTACTTCCCAGCACCCCCTGCACCCCCACCAACTCTGCAAACTAGAAGGCCTATAATTTAACCATTATCAAGACAGACCTCCTCCCGATTGCCTTTCATCACACCCTCTTCTGTTCCTGAGTGTGCCATTAGGGCCCACTTCTGTTAAGAGGAAATCAAGCCACCTTTGAGAAGAGAGGAGTTGCTATCCCCCTAGGCAGCGTGTCTAATGCTGGGCTCTGGGTCTGGAGGTGGGAACAAGCAGCTTCCGTTTTGGAAGCCCCAGCACGTGAGGAATGTGGGA